CTAAAGCACCTACTTAGAACAGGCTTAGCAATCCCGCGGTTCAATCCCCCAGCACCGCATGCCAGCCAGCCCCGCCCCCTGGTGGGCTGAGCTGGCCACACACACACACACACACACACACAAATAAATTAAAAAAAAAAAAGAAAGAAAGAAAGAGGGAAGGCGGCTTGCTGGGGCCCAGCACAGGGCTCCGTCCAGCGCTGACTCTCACACCTTCCCTGCTAGAAAAAATGAAACAGAGAAAGCAAGCCTACAAAATGGGAGCCCAAATTTCTCCTTAGGTCTGATATATTAAAAAGTATTCCGTAACATTGCTGTCACCATTTCTAGACACTTCTCTTTGAGTACTAATCTGTGGTAGGACAGTGGCTTGCAGAATGACACAATTCCTGACCCATGCTCTTAAAGCTCCACCCTGATGGAGTCTGGGACCCCTTAGTCCCTGAAGCTCCTTTGGTAGTGGTGGCAGTGAGGGGGAGCGGGGGCGGCAGGCTGAGCTTTCTTCCTCTGCAAACCAGATCCTGGGTGCTGAGAAGTGATCTGGATATTGTGAGGGCCACAAGACAACAAATCAGAATTGTGACTTCCTTCATGGCTGTATTCTCCCTCCTTTCCTGGCTGGAGTAAACAGATTTACCAGCCAAGAAAGACCTGTCCCCCCTCTGTAGTCCTGACTGCCTAATTAAGCCTTGAGTCCCTATTAAAAGCCATAGGATCTTTCCTTCCTTCCTTTCTTCCTTCCTTCCTTCCTTCCTTCCTTCCTTCCTTCCTTCCTTCCTTCCTCCTTCCTCCTTCCTCCTTCCTTCCTCCCTCCCTCCCTCCCTCCCTTCTTTCTGTCTTCCAGGTATCTTAAGTACAGTACTAAGAACACAAAGTGAATCTAAAAGACAGATTCCTACCTAAGTAGACCAAACTCCAGCAATAAATTCTGTCCAACAGAGGCTGAGAGGGCAGCTCAGTGGTAGGTGAGTGCTTAGCATTCATGAAGTCCTGGGCTCCAACCACAGCATCCCTAGTCCCCAAAATGGTACCAATATTGGAAAGGAAGGCTTTAGTTTTTTCAAATACAGCCCTTGGTGGCCCAAAGATTGATTTTCAGGGATATTCAAATGCGACTGGAGAGCTCAGCTATAGAAGGGTAGACCTACCTAGAAGGCAGAAAAGTTGTCATCATCTACTCTGGGAGAACGTAATAGAAGGGGCTGCTGCAGAGATGACCCCCGTGATGTTTCTGTTCTGTGATCCCACAGTTCTGTCACCATACAATCATCCAGGAAGAGGGAGAGTGTACACCCACTTGTTAGGTTAACTGAGGAGGGGTCCCCAGATGAGTTCCGCTGTGATAGTGGAGCCAAACCTTGCAGGCTGTTTGAATCGCTAAAAGCTCTGCAATGCTCGCCACCACTGCTCTAGGATTATTAACACGCTGGGGAGGAAAGCAGGGCAATGGTGAAGTCCCTTTGGCAAATGGGGCCACTGCAGTTCCAAGGGTAGATGAATTGCCTTTAGGGTAGGGGCTTAGGCTGTTCCAGGCTGTATGATTCTGAGAAATGGGCCCTTGGGCAGGAAGAGACAGCTGACTTATAGAGGAAATGAACCCCAAGGTAGGGGAACACTTCAGGTCCTCTAGCGTCCATCCGTCAGTCCGAAAGTGAAGAAGGCTGGCCCTGCTGGGGGCGGGGCTTCCTTGAAGACTTTGGGCCGAGTCCCTCCTCCCCGCTCCCCCATTGGGTCCCTGGCTCCTGCAACCCTGCCTGTGGAGACGAAAGAGGAGGGGTGTTGCTCTTTCACCTTTGGCCATTCAGAATTTTCGCACATAAATACTAGGGAAGACCCTGCTCTCTCCTTACTTCTCTGCCCTTGGCCCTCGCTGGGGCTTGTCCCCTTGGGGTGGGCAGGGCCATGGGGGACCTGCTCATGCTGAGGCTGGCCATGCTGGTAGGCTGTGCCACCTCCAGCACCTCTGCCTGGTAAGTCCTTTCCCCGGCTCCACGCACCACTGAGAACGCCCCCGTGGTCCATCCCTGCTCACCTCTGCCTCACGTTTTTTCTCTTTATGCCAGGTCAGTGAATAATTTCCTGCTGACAGGTCCCAAGGTAGGATGTCTTCAGCTCCTCTTTTTACCTTTGGGGGTTCCTAAGGGAATTCTTCTGGGAAGAGAAACAAGGGTGGGAGAGACTGTCTCTCTTGACCAGAGCCCCCAGGTGCTTCCAAATGGAGAGCAATCTGTGTGAACCTGGCCTGCTCTCCAGCCCCACACACCCTGTGCCAGCCTGGGCCCTGTCCCTGCTTTCCCCTTGCCAGGCCTACCTGACCTACACGACCAGCGTAGCCTTGGGAGCCCAGAGTGGCATCGAGGAGTGTAAGTTCCAGTTTGCTTGGGAACGCTGGAACTGCCCTGAGAACGCGCTGCAGCTCTCCACCCACAACAGGCTGAGAAGTGGTAAGCTGTGGCGGGGCACCTGGCCGAGGGAGCGTGGATGCGAGCCTGCAGCACACATGTGCGTGCAATGTGTGCACGTGCAGGGACCCCCAGGGATGAGCTGCTGACCTGCCATTTCCTTGCTGCTTGGCCTTGGTTAAGTTACTTCTCTCAACGCCTTTTTTTGTCATCTGGGCAAAACTAGTTCTGCACAGCTCACTAGGAATATTTTAAAGGTTGAATTAAACAGACAGTCATGTCTCATGACAAATGTACGACATTTTATTTTTTAAAGTGCATGCCTGGGGGGCTGGGGAGATGACTCAGTAGAATAAGTGCTTGTCTGACAAGTGAAAGGGCCTGAGTTCAATCCCTAGTTCCGCCAAAAAATAAAAAAATAAAAAAAAAAAATAAAGTGCATGCCTGTACTTAGGTTTGTACATGTTTACACTGAGCTGCATGAAATAAAAATGGGGTGGGGGGAAAGGAGCCAAGTGTGATGGTACACACCAATAATCCCAGCACTTGGGAGGCTGAGGCAGGAGGATCACAGTGAGTCCAAGGCCAGCCTGAACAGGTCCCAAGGTAGGATGGGACATTATAGAGGAAATGAACCTTGTCTCCAAAACAGAAAGAAGGGGGCTGGGGAGGTAGCTCAGTAGAATAAGCGCTTCCCTGGCAAGTGCAAGGGCCTGAGTTCAATCCCTAGTTCTGCCAAAAAAAGAAAAAAAGAAAGGCAGAAAGGAACTAGGTACAGTGGTGCATTCCTGCAGTCCCAGATCTCCAGGAGGCGAAGCAGGCTAAAGGAGGACTGCAAGTTAGATCCCAGCTCAGGTAACTCAGTGAGGCCTTGCCTCTAAATAAAAAAAATACGGATAATAAGAAAAAAAAAATTAAAGGGCTGATAATGTAGTTCAGTGCAAAGGCCCTAGGTTTAATCCTAACGCCACAAAAGAGGGGTTTGTGGAAGGGTTCTATGTTTTTGGCCCCTGAAGGAGATTTATTTATTTATTTATTTTTTAATTTATTTATTTATTTTTTTTGGTGGAACCAGTGATTGAACTCAGGCCCTTGCACTTGCCAGGGAAGCGCTTATTCCACTGAGCCATCTCCCCAGCCCCGAGATTTATTTTTTTTATTTTTATTTTTTTTGTGGAACCAGGGATTGAACTCAGGCCCTTGCACTTGCCAGGCAAGCGCTTATTTTACTGAGCCATCTCCCCAGCCCCTGAAGGAGTTTTATAACTGCTCAATTATCATAAAATCTTAGCACTACACAGTGAGCTAAGAAGTCACTGAGTTTTGCCTCATATGGGCTGGGTGTACACAGTGTATGCGCTTGTATGCTCTGTCTACTGCTAAGTGTGCTGCAGGTTGCATAAAAGGTATTTGTTTTGTGGTGACTGGAACAGAACCCAGAAGCCTTCCAGCTGAGCCACAGCCTTGGTTTTTTTTGTGGTACTGGGGATTGAACTCAGGATCTTGCACTTGCCAGGCAAGCACTTACTCTACTGAGCTATCTCCCCAGTCCCCCATTTGTTGTTTTGAGATATATATATA